TATTATATTGTGTGTATTATGTAGTTTAGTTTAGTTTGTATAGGTAGCTTAGTTTGTATAGGTAGCTTAGTTTGTATAGGTAGCTTAGTTTGTATAGGTAGCTTAGTTTGTAATAGATTTTTTAGTTTGTATGTTTGTATTATTTTGTTTTATTATGTAGTTTGAATTATATAATATTATATTTTTAATTTACTAGCAAAAGAAAACTGCTCCGAACTTGTCTGGTTGTAATTTTTGCAGGTTTTAGTTGTAAAACAGAGTAAATAAACCCAATTTTAAAAAAACAAGTAAATTTACGTCGCATATTGGTATATACGACGTAAATTTACGTCGCATATACCAATATGCGACGTAAATTTACGTCGCATATACCATATGCGACGTAAATTTACGTCGCATATGGTATATGCGACGTAAATTTACGTCGCATATTGGTATATGCGACGTAAATTTACGTCGTATATACTGTATGCGACGTAAATTTACGTCGTATATACTGTATGCGACGTAAATTTTCTGTTTTTTTTTTTTAAATTGAAAAGGTTTTTACGTCTGTTTATTGTATATGCCACGCAAAATTACGTCGTATCTTCATAACTGACGTAAATCTACGTCGGGTAAAAGGGTCCGACGTAAATTTACGTCTCCCGCTTTTACGTCGGACTTAAATACGACGTAAAAAGCCCTAAATACCTGACGTAAAAGCCCCTTTTTGCACTAGTGATTGTATCGAGAAAATGTATCGAGACTGAATATTAGGAAATAGAAAATTACACGAATGTGAGAAATCAAGTATGTTATCTAGGCAAACTTGACCCTTCCTTTTATAGCTAATTAGTAATTAATTTTGTTTCACATCTTAATAACTAACTTTTATTATAACGAAATCATCCTTTAAAACAATCCTTGGGATACTTCTTTGAGGTCATAAAAAAATTCCCATGTTACGTCTTCAGGTAGATAATATTTTCATTTCACAAGGACTTTGGTGATTGTCATTCCTCTCCTCTTCACTGTCATCCAATCTAAGATGGTCTCTAGTTCCTTTTCCTGTAACCTCCCTTCAGTTTGATAAGGCAACTCTGTGGAAACTAGTCCCTCTCCCACATGCTTCTTCAGCTATGATATATGAAACACATTATGGATCTTTGAACTCACTGAAAGTTCTAGTTTGGAGGCTACCTCCCTTACCTTGTTCATAATATTGTAGGCTCAAAATATTTGAGACTTAATTTGGCATTAGGCCTAAAATTCACTAAAATTTGCTTGTAATGTTACATAAACCATGTCCCCAATTTCATAGCTTTTATCTGATATGTGCCTATTAGCCACTTGCTTCATCCTCTTTTCTACTATCTTCAAATAAAACTTAATTATTTTCAACATTTCTTCTCTTTTAGTGAAGATTTTGTCCACCAATTTCACACTAGATTTCTCAGGTGAATAAGAAAACATGACCAAAATGTGATCTTAATGCATGTTTTGTCGTTTCCTTTGTTAGTATAATTAAGGAGGACAGTGAGAAAATTTACTGTGATGATTACCACCAAAAATTGCATAGATTCTGCAACAAATATGATGCCTATAAAAGATTTAAGACAATAAAATAAGAAGAGAGAAACACTTCCATGAACATACCACATTTATTCGCATTTTATCGAAACGTGAGAACTTATTAAATTTTCTTTAATCTCTCACATGTATGTATTTTTTTTTTTTGCTATATTTAATTTTTTATAAGTAACTTAAAAATATATTTTTTAGTTATATTTCAAAATAACTTAAAATATATTCATGAATTTATTTTAAATGATAATATAGTTTAGTTTATATATAAATAAAATATATATTTAAAATAAAATTAATTCTTTTATATATTTAAAAAATTTTAAACTAAGATACATATTATAAAATTATAAATAATTTATTTAATTAATTAGATAATATATTTTTTATGATAGACATCATATAATTTAATATTTTAATAAATAAATAACTTTTAATTTATTTTTTATATTTAATACACTAGTGGATCTACATTCACATAATAAACTATTTTCCATACCAATCAACACTATAGGGTGGATGTTCATATAATTTATAATTTTTAAAATATTTATTTTATTGAAATGATTTCAATGTAAAGTACGTATTTATTTATATTTATAATAAATTATATTATTATTCAAATTAAATCTTAAATATAATTTAAATTATTTTGAAGTATAATTTTTTCAAAGATTTTAAGTAGTTTTTTTAGATAATTTATGAGAAAATATTTAAAGAGAACGAGAGAAAAAAAATGTAATGTAGGTGAGAGAAATATGTAATAATGAAAGAAAGATACAAAGAAAAAAATATTAGTTAAATATAAAGTTATCTAATTTTAAGTGATTGTGTGCAAATATCATATTATTGTGCATATTAGAATTACAAGAAATAAAAATATATTATAAAAAACACATTATACAAGAAAAGAATGATACAGGAAAAGAAGTTTTGATATTCCGTGAAATAGTCTTTTTACATGTTGATTATGATAATATTATTTAAAATTTATTAACATATTTAATGTATTTTTTATTTTGAAATTCTAATTTGTTATAATTTTATTTTTAAAAGATGTCTCATTATGTTGAGAAAAAAATGTATATATAATTTTTAAGTAGTGTAAAACTCATCAATATGTCAAAATATAATCCCTACGACTAAGGGTAGCAAAACTCATGTTATCGGTCTTATAATAGGTATTAGTATTCCCTTTAGGAAAAATGGTGTCATGATCTTATTATTATTATAGAAATTCTCATTTTTCATATAATATTTTTGTAATTTTTTTATAAAAATGACAAGAAATAAGTTTTTTTACAAATTTAAATAAATTTTTACAAAATTATTGTATAGAAAATAATTAATATTATAGTAGTGCGTATATTATGGTTTATTAAGACGTGCAAACTACTGTGTATTTTAAAATTTTAATTTATAACAATTTTATTTTTAAAAGACATAATTTAAAAGAGATTATATATAAAAAGTATTCTTAATCTCATTTTCTACTCATCTATCATTAGCAATATCCAATTATAAAAAATGTCTTATAAAAATGAGACGCTTAATTAAGATATTAAATTATTAGCATATCTTTTCATTGAGAGTCATCCATGAGCTCAATTTTACAAATTTGAAGTTCACCTGATTTTGTTCTGAAATACGTTACAATCCAGTAGCATTTTTTGTATATGAACAGAAGTACGAGGGAAAAATTATTTTTATTATAATACCCTACAAATTTACTTCTCACACAAAGATTATTTAAGAATGTTTCAAGATAAAAAATTGACTTATTGGCTATATGCACGGATGGATATTGACTATTTATCGTGAGAAACTAAATAATATATTATTAATAAATAATAAATAAATATAAAAGAAAGAAAAAGATGAAAGAGTAAAAGAATAAAATTGTAAATATATATTTAAATATATTAAATAATTATTAAATTTGAGTGGGACAAAATCATAAATTATATGAGAGCTTACAAAATTGAGGAGAGACTGAGAGAATAAAATTGTAAATAAACAAGTATATATATTAAATTTTTATTAAATTTAAGAGAAGTAAAATCGTAAACTAGATGAAAGTTACAAAACTTTGAGAGGGTTAAGATCCTCAACTCCCAGGAGTAAGATGACAATGCCTTTCAAAAATATGAAAATTGGATACAAGCAAAGATAGAATAATGTTGCGGGTATCTTTTGTAATATTCGTATTATTAAAGTGTTTTAATAATAGAGGTTATCTTATTATGATATCATGAGATGAGTTTAAAATAGGTCAATTTAATTTAATTTTATGAACAAGAAATTTTATAACTCAATTTGATAAATTATGTAGGTTAGTTAATTTAAAAATGTGTCTTATTTATTATTATTATTATTATTTTTATTTTTTTTAATAATTGATATAGGTGTTCACTCGGTAAAATATCTCTTCTCTTGTGATTTACAATCGGCATTGATATTGTTAAAATTTTAGAACAAATACTATAGGTGAATTGAAGTTTATAATTTTTACTAAAACAAGTACTTTATTTAAAATTAAATTAAATTATATATCAAATATGATGTATTTTATGAGAATAATAAGAATCAAATCAGGATTGAAAAAGAGAATGATAATATATAAAAAATTATATTAATCATTGTAATAAGGTTTTAATTAATTAATAAGTTTTTAATAAATTAAAATATTTCATATATCAAATCAATCACTTAGAAGAACGTAATATGTAAAAATAACTTTTTGTACCATTAAAATTTGTACAATAATTCTCAATCAATATTTGAAGCATGTAAATGACTCATTTAAAACTCTTAAGATAGAGTTATGATTAATCAATAACAGATGAATTCACACAAACACAACTAATCAACGTCATTTTCGCATATCATCTAACAAAAGTGTAATCATCAAATAAACTTTTAAACTTGTTTTTATTCCATGTAACAAATTAGTTTATTAAAAATTAAAAAATAGATAAAATATTGACATGCCACAATCTAATTAAAACCTTATTAATCTGTGAGTTAAGTGAATCAATTTTAAACTTCTTTTAACAATAGTTAAAAAATTTATTTTATTTTTAATTTAACCCAATTCAAACATAAACCAAGTTAATTCACAGGCCTAACCTAACTCATGTTGATTAAGCAAAACTACACATATTAAAAAGGTAATTAATTCATTTAATTTTCAAAGAAAAAAAAAAGTGTACAGGATTTCAAAGAAAAATATAATTTCTCATAATTCAATTTCAGTACCGATTTGGGTTTAAAATCGTAACCCGACCCGGTCTAAATAGGAATGGAGCGAAGCGGTGTGTTCAGTGTTCAGCCGTGATAAGGGCAGACATAAAGCATCCATCTACTCCATCGTATCAGCTTCCGTGGTCGGGAAAGAGCAAAACCAATCCCTAACCCTGACCGCAGAAGCCAACATGTCTGATTCCGAACAGATAATGGAGGAAAGCCAACCCCTGACCGAAGAAAATGAGCGGGGCGAAGACAAACCCATGTCTAATTCCGACGACTCTGATTCGGAGGACGAAGCTCAGCAGAGTCTCCAACTTGAGTCTCTCGAGACCGAGCTTGCTGCTAATCCCTCTAATTACGATGCTCATTTGCAGGTAATTTCTTTCTTCCTCAACTCAACTCTAGTCTATTCTTTTCCCTTTTTTCAAGTTTGTCCCAAATGATCGTTTTTCTTTTTCAGTATATAACGCTTCTGAGGAGAACTGGTGATGTTGATAAACTTAGAAGAGCCAGGGAAGCTATGAGTGAACTCTTTCCTTTGAGCCCTGCAATGTGGCGTCAATGGATCAAAGATGAGCTTTCTCTCGTCACTGCTTCTCGGTCGTTTTCTCTTTCCTCGACTCCATTTACATTGCCTTTTTCTTTCTTCTCTCCAAATTAGGATTTCTCGACCTCTTTTTCTTATGCTTTCCCTTTACCATGCAGACCCGAGGCTTTCTCTCGAATTCTGAACCTTTACGAACGAGGGGTGTTTGACTATAAGGTTGGTTATTATATTTCAATATGCTGCCCGCTTTAGATAATTAATGTCTGCTTGAGCAATTCATATGTTTGCCTTTTCATACTTAAGAAGAGTTCTCTTTAAAACTGTAGCTCCTTTTCGAGGATACTTAAGGATATAGATATGATAGGAGAAGCAGGAACAACTATTTTTTTCAACATTTATAATTAAATTATTATTAGTTTAAAGGTTTTGCTTAACTGTTGTGTTATCATCTATTTCAGTCTATCTCTCTTTGGTGTGACTACATTAATTTTGTCCAAGAGTTTGACCCAATGGTACGCCAATGTACACCTACTGGTATTTCCAAGGCAAGGGATCTGTTTGAGAGTGCCCTTACTGCAGCTGGTTTGCATCTCGCTGAAGGAAGTAAAATATGGGAAGCATACAGGATTTATGAGCAGACTATACTTTTAACCATCGATGAGACTGATGCACAGGTCTGAACATTTTCAACTTTACCATAGATCTATCCTCATCATGCTAGCCAACATACTTCAGCTCTATGCAAATTTTATATGTTATTGCCATGCTTTTAATTTTTTCACTCTTTAGAATCCAGAGGTTTTACTTGGCTGATAATATTGAGGACATAACAATATAGGTGCAGCTAAAATAAGTTTTGTTCCCCAGTTAGTGCTTTGAATGCACAAATATGGCCTGAGCTAAATATAAATTCAGTTGATAGTATAGTTTCATTTTGGTTTGATGAAAGGGATTTATAAGACAGCGGAAATTCTGCTGCCAAAAAGAAATTTGATTTGTATTACCTTTTTCCATTTACCAAATTTTTTTGGGTCAGCTTGTTAACTTGATATACAGTTGAGTACAGAACAATTTACAATGTAGTTGTGGGAAAAAAAATGGTATATCTGAGTTAGTGCTTTGAATGCACAAAATGGCCTAAGTAAATGTGAAGATTCAATTGGGAGTGTAATTTAATTTTGGTCTGTTGATGTCTAAAAGAGTGTTATAGAACAAAGAAAATTCAGCAGCCAAAGAGAAACATGATTTGGAGATTAACTTTGAAATTGACAAAAAGAGTTTGGATTTATTGAAGCTTTTGGTGGCATCATAGGTTGTTGTTTCAGTAGTATGTTAAGTTTTCTTTTCCCTTTCCAGGCCAAAGAAAAGCAAGTTCAACGCATTCGAAGCTTATTTCACCGCCAGTTGTCTATTCCCCTGGCTGATATGAGTTCAACACTTACTGCCTACAAGACTTGGGAGATGGAACAAAGAAATCTTCAAGATGTTGAATCCATTGACTTGGTTGATATTGATCCTAATGTTGCATCTTCATACCAGAAGGCCTTGGAGATGTACAATGCTCGTTTTCATCTTGAAGAACAGATTTTGAGGCCGAATATTTCTGATTCAGAAAGACTACAACACTACATGGTATGTCTCCATGTCAAAACGTGACCACTTATTTCTAAGAGATAAAATCCTAGAATTTTATTCATTTGTTGTTCTTTAGTTTGTGTAACTTCTTTTAATAAGATATTTGTATTGCAGAACTATTTGAAATTTGAGCAATCTTATGGAATGCCAGCCAGAATTCAAGTTCTATATGAACGAGCTATAACTGAGTTTCCTATAACACCTGATCTCTGGCTTGATTATACTCGCTATTTAGACAACACTTTGAAGGTTTTAAAATTTCCCTTGTTACTATCTCTGTCACATCTTATGGTAAATAATATCATTGAAGGTTGGTCTTCAACCAAACCAAATTGCATCATGTGATATACAAGCCAACTTCACCTAGTGGGATATGAAGTTGTATTATCTTTGTCACTTTACAACATCCATTTACTATGTCTAATTTCTAATTTGGACTTTCTCCCTTTTGCTTCTTTCTGTAGGTTGGTAATATTGTCAACAATGTTTATTCTAGGGCGACTAAGAACTGCCCTTGGGTTGGAGAACTTTGGATTCGGTATTTGCTTTGCTTGGAGCGTGGTCATACTTCTGAGAAAGACTTGTCTGAAGTATGTTTGTATATATGACCCATTTTTATTGCAAAATTTCCCCATTATTGATGCATGTTAAATATTTGAAATCCACCAAATGTTTCTTCAACCCTCAATAGGTTGAGTGGTTTGTTAACGAGTAAATAATGTTGTTTCTGGTTTAATAATGACTAAGGCAAGTTCTTGGTATAAAGATGCGCTTGTCTTTCTAATACTTCCTCATTGATTTGAATGTTATTCTATCGCAAGAGGAAGAAATATTGACACACATGGTAACGATTAGCAAACTGATATGTATGACCTTAGGTTTTTGTATTGATATGAATAGAGTCTTTCAATGTGGTAGTTGTACCTCAAAAAGTTAATTTTTTGATCAAGAAAACGCAGGGTAGTTTGTGATATAACCCAATTGGGCATCTTGTGTTGTCCAATTCCTTTATCCTGATTTTTGCTTCTCCAAGTTACTGAACTTTCTCCAAGAACCATACATTACCCGAGGTGAATTTTCTATTAGTGATAGAGTTTGCATAATCAACATCAGTATATATCTTCAGGTCAAAGTGTCTTTTGTTCTGAATAGCAACCCCTTTCCTGGGCTTGACTTCAAATATTGGAGAATTTTGTCAACTGTTTGCATGTGTGTTTCTCTTAGATCATGCATAAATTGACTCACCACACTAACCATATAAGTAATGTCTAGTCTTGTGTGTGATAGATAAATCAGTTTCCCTACCAATATTTGATATATAGTATTTTCTACTGGAGAACTCTCTTCTCTTGCAATTCTATGATTCTTTCTGTTCAATTGAACTCTTGAGGTTTTATCTTAGCTGTCCTGTTACTTTCTTTGAGGAGATCAAGTACGTATTTTCTTTGAGATGAATATTCCTTTATTGGAATATGAAACCTCTATTCCAAGAAAGTACTTGTGTTTTCCAAGTTTTTCATTTCAAAGTGGATAGCTAATTTTTCTTGAAAGCCAATTTCTCAGTTTCATCATATCTTGCAATAATCATATCATAGGCAAGCAATACAGTAAGTTTACTTGTAGGGGAGTACTTTATGAATAAAGTATGATCTCCTTGCCTTTGCCTGCATTCGTAAATCACTCAAATCATGTTCTTGAAGATTGTTTAAGACCATATAAAGCTTTCTTGAGGCGGCACACCTTGTTCCTTCCATTTTTTAGTTTCAAATCCTAATGGAATCTCCACACACACACACACACACACACACACATATATATTCTCCTAAAGTTCTTAATCAAAATTCTTCCCATCCAACTGGGTACCAAAGAAAGAATAATTTGAATTGTATTCATCTTTGCCAATGGTGCAAATGTCTCCTTATAGTCAATCCTGTAGGTTTGAGTGTGGCCTGTTGCTACTAATCAGACTTTATATTTGTCTATTGTCCCATTTACCTAATGTTTCAATGTGAAAATCCATCTGCACCCTATGGTCCTTTTGTCTCTTGGTTTGTCAACTATAAGAAAAGAAAAAGGTTATTGAGTAGTTCAAATCTTCTGCAAGTTTTTGTATAGAGATAGGACATTGTCAGTTTTGGGACACATAAAACATCATTTAATACAATAATGGTTCTAAGTTATACTCCCAGATCCACATATGCACATTGTGATGAGTTGTTCTCTACTTGTTTTGACATTAGTTGAAGAGCATAGAAAAGGGAGTCATGTGATATGTTGCTTCTGAATCAAGAATCCAAACACCCTGAGACATAGGGCAAATAGTATTTGTTAAGATTCCAACATAAAATCAATTGGCAATATGAGGAATAGCCTAAGAGGTATTTAACCTATACCACATGATATGAGGCAGACGATGTGAGACTTCCAACACGTCCCTTCCAATGAAGCTTACGAGACCAAGATAAGGGTAGTTTTGACCCAAAACAAAAGGGCAACTTGGCTCAAGACAACAACCGAAAATAAGTTAGGCTTCAAATCTGATACTATGTTAAGATTTTAATATAAAACCAATTAGCAATATGAGCAGTAATCTAACAAGTATTTAAACCATATCACATAACTTGAGATAGACAATGTTGGCCTTCCAACAGTATTGAATGAACTTATACCTTACATGGACAGGGTACATGATCCAAATCAATCATTGTTCTAAGAAGATCAAGCTTCTTCTCTTAGGCGTAAACTGAAAAATGATATGCTTTCACAGCAAAGGGAACCTGCTTTAATAATGTTGAAGTATTTATTAGATTAAATGTATCTTGTTGGACATTTATGAGATTAGTTGTAGATCTAGTTCCTAGAATGCATCTGTTTATCTTCTCTAGGATTAATCATGTCTCTCTATTAATTGTATCTCTGAATCTGTATTTTTATCTCCTATAAATAAGAGAACACAAGAAGATGATTTCAGGCTCTCAAAATCAGTTCTTTATTTTCTTTTTTCTATTTCAAGTTGGTATCAGAGCGGGTTCATCCCGCTCTGCCTGTCTCTGTTTTTTTTCTGGCATTAATCGCCGTTCACCGTCGTCCGCTGCCGTCCGCCGCCGGTGTTGTCTTCTCCGGCGCCTTTTTCCTCTCTGATACTTGGGTTTGGCTCACCTCGAGGAGCGCGACCCAACCCTAGTGTTCGCTTCCTCTATCTCTGCCTCACACGCCGCCACGCGCCACCCTCGTCCGCGGCTTCCTCCGCGCGTGGGCCTCACGCGCCGCCCTCTCGGTGGCTGTTTTGCTCCAGGCCACCTCTATTCGGCTCGCCTCGTCGCCCTGGTGCCAGATCTGCACTTTGTTTTGTGTTCTCGGTCACAAAACGTGGTGGGTCTGCATTTTTCTCTCTGCCTCTCTCGGTCCTCTCTCTGACATCACGCTGGTCCCTTCTCGTTTCCTGGAAAATGTCAGGATCTGTGTCTGTATCTTTTTCTGGGACTCCGACTATAACCACAGAAAAATTAAATGGGAAAAATTATTTGTCTTGGGCTTCCTCTGTTGAACTCTGGTTTCTAGGTCAAGGAGTTCATGATCATCTAGAAGAAGATGGAAGTACTATACCAGCAGACCAGGCTCCTCAATGGAAGAAACTGGATTATCAACTTTGTGCACTATTATGGCAATATGTTGAACCACATATTTTGAGCACTCTTCGAACCTTCAAGACATGTAATTCTTTTTGGAAAAAGGCTCAAAATATCTTTGCTAACGATATTCAACGACTTTATGATTCTGCTAATAGACTAGCCTCCCTTAAGCAAGAGGATAATTCCATGATGTCCTTTGTTGCTGAAGCTCAGTCAGCTGTTGAAGAATTAAAAATGTTCCTGGAGGCAGAATCATTAGAAGAAAGGAAGACGAAGCTGGATAAATTCTATATGGTAATGATTCTTAGGGCTATGAATCCAGAGTTTAATCATGTTAGAGACCAGATTCTAACTGGAGAAGAAGTTCCTTCTACGGAGAGTTTAATCACAAGGCTACTTCGTGTTCCTTCTATCAAAAGCAAAAACAGTCAGGAACTTGCTGATTCTTCCGCCATGATTTCTGCTCGTGGAAGAGGTAATCACAGCTCTAGAGGACGTGGTGGGAAAGGACGTCCTCAGTGCTCTCATTGCAAAAGAATGGGACATACTAAGGAAAATTGCTTTGCTCTTCACGGCTTTCCTGATAAGGCAGCTAATACCTCAAAATCTGAAGTTGATGAGCCCAAGTTCTCTCATGAAGAGTATCAAGAATATTTAAGGATGAAATCAACCAATTTGGCTCAAGCATCTACAACACCAAATTCGTCAATGTCTTGCATTTCGCAATCTGTGGAAAGTCAAAATCCATGGATTATTGACTCAGGTGCTTCTGACCACATGTCTGGTAATACCTCTTTATTTTCCTCTCTTTCATTTCCTAAAACATCCCATCTCATATCTTTAGCTAATGGATCTAAAGTAGCCTCTAAAGGAATTGGTCAAGTATCCATCTCTTCTTCTTTAAACCTTCAAAATGTTCTTTGTGTTCCTTCTTTTCCATTCAGTCTTGTTTCTGTAAGCCAATTAACCAAATCATTGAATTGCTCAATAACCTTTAATGCCAATTGTTTTGTTATCCAGGAACGTGGTACGGGTTGACTGATTGGAGAAGGACATGGATCTGGAGGCTTATACTACCTTAGGACTAAGTCATCTGTATCTTGTGTTGCGTCTTTATCCCCAAAACTGTTACATGAGCGATTAGGGCATCCTCATTTAGCAAAATTAAAAAAAATGGTTCCTGAACTTCAGAATCTTCAAACTCTTGAATGTGAATCCTGTCAACTAGGGAAACATACCAGGTCATCCTTTCCAAATCATTCTGAATCTAGATGTGATTCTGCTTTTAGTATTGTTCATTCAGATATATGGGGACCTAGTCGTGTTTCATCTTTTGGTTTTAGATATTTTGTTACTTTTATTGATGGGTTTTCTAGATGTACTTGGGTTTATCTTATGAAAGATCGTTCTGAACTATTGCCTATCTTTAAGTCTTTCCTTAATGAAATCAAAACTCAATTTGGAAAAGTAATCAAAGTTTTACGAAGTGATAATGCCAAAGAGTACTTTTCTAATGATTTTTCTAATGTCCTAAATTCTCAAGGCATTTTACACCAGTCCACGTGTCCTCACACACCACAGCAAAATGGTATAGCAGAACGAAAAAATAGACATTTGGTTGAAACTGCTCGTACCTTATTGCTGGGTGCCAATATGCCTATTCATCATTGGGGAGATGCTATTCTAACTGCATGCTTTCTCATTAATAGAATGCCATCTTCTTCTCTTGATAATAAAGTTCCACACTCTATTCTATTTCCAAAGGAACCAATTTTTCATGTTTCTCCTAGGGTATTTGGATGTATATGTTTTGTTCATGACATGTCTCCTGGCTTAGATAAACTCTTACCTAGAGCTATCAAATGTGTCTTCTTGGGGTATTCTCGTCTTCAAAAAGGATATCGGTGTTATTCTCCTGAAACCAAGAGGTACTACATGTCTGCTAATGTCACCTTTTT